TATTCGCATTTGAATCTCTTTTGTTCAAGGAGCGTTGAAGACTTCGTTGAAAAGACGTCAAACTGACAGGTTGATGCTGTGCTGTCTAATTTCTTGACGATTTTGTAAGCATTTGCACAACATCTGGTATTTGAAGTTTTATATTATGTTGATATACAATGTACACCTCTGTGTTGTATCTTATGCATAAATAAAGGGGCCGACAAGACGATGTTCTTAACGCGATTCCTTTGAAACAAAATCAAACGTGAAAATTCTCTGAAAATTACTAGGTCGCTAATAACTTGCCTACATCATAATAGCATGATAGTATTCAAGTACAGATTGTTGGTAAGTGGTGGTGTGTTTCTTACTAGGAAAGAAATTGTGGTTACTGCAGATCCCTTTAGTGCATCACTATCATTCATAGATACTGTTTTTAATCAAAAATCAAACCACAGTGATAGACAAAGGGTCGCCAAGGTTTGCCGGATATGACACTTATTAATAAATCAGTATAGCTAAAAAAAAATCGCTAACAATTCGGTAGTTTTTGAGAGTGATTACGAGATACGCCACTCGATCAATCAGTTTTCGTAAATTTATAGGGGCAAAAAAGAGCAGACCAAGTTTTAAAATTAAGGAATTTTCATCTTGGTAAAACAAATCTGACCAGAGACATACATGCGAGCAGACTCTTCTTTCAGTTGCCACGCAAAGAGCCTGCTCGTAGGTTATATTTATGCGTTATTTCACGAAGAATCCTACTTTAACTTGCTTTTAACACTGAAGTCCTTTATTAGAAAGGGAAAAACGCACTCTGATATGTTACGTTATATTTCGTAGGAAACTATTTCAGTGTTCAGGTAAGCGTCAGTGAACTGTAACGCGCACGCCAGCTGAATGGCAACAAAACTTGCTGAAAAACCTACGCCCCAGTTCGTTTTACCTTGGGTGGTTTGTTCTCCTTTACCGATCACGTGGTATTCCCAGGGGAATTTTTCTTTTATCCATCTAAAAA